GTTGGAGGTTGATACTCAGCGATAATTCTAGAAATTTTTATTCCAGGTTTCTAATAAATTATATTTATATACATGATAATAATATAATCTGATATATTTATATATTTTATATTTATACATTTTTATATTTATATATTTTTATATTTATATATTTATATATTTATATATTTATATATTTGTATATTTATATATTTGTATATTTATATATTTATATATTTATATATTTGTATATTTATATATTTGTATATTTGTATATTTATATATTTGTATGTTTGTATATTTATATATTTATATATTTATATATATATATATATATATATTTATATATTTATTTTTTAAATTATTTAATTTAATAAATTATTATAAATTAATCTAATTATGATTAAATTAAATTATTAAATAAAATAATATTTAATTTTTTAATTATGTGAATAATTAATTTATTAGAATATATTAATTAATTATTATATAATTTTACTGACGGATATATCGGTCGGTAATTAATTGTTAATTTACTGATGGATTTACCGACGGAAATATCCGTCGGTAAATAATTGTTAATTTATCGATGGATTTACCGACGGATATATCCGTCGGTAATTAATTGTTAATTTACTAACAGATTTACCGAATGATATATCCGTTGGTAATTAATTGTTAATTTACCGACGGATATATCTCGTTGGTAAAACCAAATTCTATATCCGTCGATAATGATTCATTTTTTGACGGCCACAAATCCGTTGGTAAAAATCCGTAAAAAATATGTGATTTTCTTGTAATGACCACTCTCTTGTGTAATAAGTTTTTGTTAACTATGATTGAAACAAACTACAGAATTTTGTGATTTTCTTAGATTTTACATAAAAATACCTATGTAGTTAATGGCAATCATAGAAACTACTAATGTTTTCCCATTTTAGACTAGTAACTATTCTTCTTTAACAAAACCTCATTCCCAACCTTTCATTAGGTAATGACTGGAGACATTTATCACCGCATCATCCTTATTTACATTTAGGTTATGAATTTTCACTTGTAATTATAATTTTTTTTATGAATTTAATAGTTTTAAAGAAAATATACCTCTTGAGCAAGTTATGTTTAAACAGTATTCTACATAGATATTAGTATACATGTTCATAATGGTAAATATGTGCACAAGGTTATTAGATGTAACTATAATTTTAATTCATGTAAATATGTTTTTGCACTGATTTTTTTTTTTAATTGAAACCTGATTGCCTGAAAGTCTAATGTTAGATCGGATTTTACCTAAAATTAATATTGTGAAATTTATGATATTACTTATAAACAAGTATTCTACTTTATTGATAAGTATTATAATTTATTGATGAACTGAGATACAAATAGATTGAAAGTCTCTTTCACAATTCAACAAAACAAAAATAAGAAAGTAAACACACTATTTCATTGAAAAACCAACGTAACTTAAGCACACACTTCACACAAGAAAAGTCTACAATAATATAAGCAAAGACGTGGCTAATAATTGAGTTGTGATCAAGCATTGGCCACAAGGTAAGCCTCAATAACTTTGAAAAGAGCATCACTCTTGGCTTTGCCAGTTTTGAGCTCCTCTTCGTTGGGTGGAGCATCTCCTTTGCTGTGGTATTTTATGCTCAGCTTCACAACAGACCCTCCGTTGGGGCCATCACTCAGTTTGGTGTCCAATGTGATCTTCTCTGCTGTGTCTGGCAAAGCAACACCTCCAACTATGCTGTAGCTGTATCCCAAGTTAGCCTCATCTATTCCTTCTATCTTGTGAAGCACAAACTTTGTCTCTCCATCTGTTCATTCACAATTAATCATGAATTCATTTTACATGCTATATACTACTATTGGATGTAGATGGATAGATTGGTAGAGATTAAAGCAATAATGGAATAGAAATATGTTTAGTGACTCACCCTCAAGGAAAGAGATCTTCTTGATGGTTCCTGGGCCACCGTTGCCCTCAACGATCTCAACACTCTTGAAGGAGTCTACAGCCTTTGGGACGATGTCATCGGCGTCTTTGACAAGAGCTTTGTAAAGGGTAGCAGGGGCAACGGGAGAAGTGGTTTGGTCTTCGAATGTGAAAACAGCCATGATGGGTGGATTCTGAATGAGATGGAATGAAATGGAAGAATATATATGTGATATGAGAACAGAAGGAGAAGGTTTTTGCTGTGTGAGTATTTTGCAGAGGAAGTGTTCTCTATTTATAAGCACAAGCTTTGGTGTCTCTTCGTTTGTTTGCATGTATCCACCATACCATAAGATATCACAATGTGAAGCTGCTGACTCACTGATTCAAGATTGTTGGGCCATCGTCGGTTCTTTGCTTACCAAGAAAATTCTTTTTTATGTAAAAAGTGATATATTGACACCAAACAATTATTATATTAATTTAATTGAGGTTTGGCAAACAAAATTTTCTTGATGTAAATAAACAATTGTTAGAACATGAGCATATATCATTCTTTTTTATTTTTATATTATCACTCTTTTTATTTAAAAGACTATTAAATTATGTATTTGTCAAGAATTGCCATTTGAGAGCTTTCAAATTCAAAGAAGATAAATGGTGTACACGTCAATTTCAACTTTCAACGATGACCACCGTTTGCTGTATTTGAGGCAGGGAATTAATGAATAATTTTATATTTTTTTAGGTTATAATATTATGTTGTTGGGTGCGTGTTAAAATTTTGTTAAGGGTCTATTTATTTATTTTCCTAAAAAATTCTTTTACTGGGACGAAACATTTTAGTTTTAACTTTTACATTTTGAACATTTTACTCGGATCGAACAAAGTTTAGCATGAAGACTATTAATTTCATGGTTATACAAATGTCAATGCAATTGCAGGAGGAAGTAGAAATTTAAGAATGCTTTATAGACGCCCTTCTAGATGTTCTTGGAGAAATTGGACTTTGGGTTTTTCATAACTATTTCGAGGAAGTAGTATATTAAATATAAACAAAGTTTTTTTATTATAATTTTATGAAGTATAAATTTTAATAAATGCTTTATATTTTGAACTAATATTCTAAAATCACCGATGAATACTTATGTAAACGTTCATTACGTTTTTTTTTTCAGTATTTAAATATTTTTTAAATGATTTCTCATATTTATTTGTATAATAACTTTTGCTATTTTTCCGAATTTTCAAATATCATGCCGAATTAAAAAATATTGTACAATTACGAGAAGTTTCAAAAAATTCCCTTACCACACTCATACGTATTTGACTGACTACATTCAAACACATTCACAATTGCAAAATATACATCCTACTCTATAAATTAGAGAAAATGTTAAAGGTTTGCAAAAAATTATTCAGGGAATAATTGAAACATGAATATTATTTTTCACAATTATTTTTCATAGTTGTGTTCCTACACAGAAATTAGAAGAATTACTAGAGTCACCCTAAACGTAGCAGAAACCATTAAAAAAATGTTGTATTTTGTATCAACCTTGTATCATTAGATACTATTTAATCAATCAAATATTTTATAATTTTTAGACATTATTTACAATTGTTTCACGTAAATTATAAAATCATAAACAATATCTTTATAGTTCGTACACTACATAAAACGATATACAAACCCGGTTAAAAAAAAAAATAATAATGGTTAAAAATTGTCGATGTTTCGGTCATAGTGAAGAACGATTACATTAGCATGTTGTTATATATTATTAATACAATTATAATTATATTTATAATGGTTGTACGTGGAAAATTTTAGATAATATGTATTAATGTTAATGTTAGACAAAAAATTTAGCACTAACGCGAAACTTTCCTAATGTGATCTTAATCACTTTATTTTCTAGTATGGAAACTTAGAAATATAAAGGAAAATAAATAAGTTAGAAAAGGAGAGGAAAATGAAGAGAAGAATAGGAAAAATATCTTCCTATTATTGTTTTTGTTACCGTGAGGTTAAGTATACAGGAGATATTTATGACAGAAATAGAGAAAAGTTGAATCACATGTGAGAGAGAAAAAAATGCAATAAATGTGAAAAGGAAAAAGAAAAAAATTGAGGAGAAAAAATATTAAAATTCATTATATATGTAATATAAACGTTGTCTAGGACTAGGAGGTCTTCATAGTGTTGCATTTCAGTCTACCACAAGATTTAGCAGTGCAGGGTGCAATTTCTCAAATTTTGATTCAAGTGGAAATTCTCAATTGAAAGAGAAAGTTATTCATTTAAGAGAAAAATTAGCAACTTCTAAAGAAAATGTCAAAATATTAAAAAGTGTCATGCGCGCATACATCCAAATGAAAGAAAGACACATTCCTCCTGAGTTGGGTGCAATGTTTGGTAGTACAAGTAATATAGTTGTAAGTATTTTATAGTTTGTTTTAAATGAAATTATATTATTCAATACTTGTATAAAGTTCAATATCTTATGTATAATTTCTAATTATGCTTACATGATATGATCTTTATTTTATAGGATGAAGAGAGTGGACAATATATGTCAACACCACAAGAAGAATCTTCTTTAGATAGTAATTTTCATAAAGTTTGACATTATATGTAAGTATTTCATATTTTGTGTTAATAAAATTATGTTGTTAATTATTTCTACGGAGTTTAATATTTTTTATATATATTTTTAACTATATTAAGATGATATTATTTTTATTTCACAAGATGAAGCAAGTGAATGAAATATATCAATATTATAGGAGGATACTCATTCGATAGTAATTTTCATTAAGTTTGATATATATGTTATGAAATTTGTGGATCTATTGACATCATATTTTGTTAGATACACTTTATTAATGAATAATGTGATGAATTTTATTGGACTTTTAGGATAAAATTTGATTTTATCTTAGTTGATATTGAATTATATTTAGTTAAGTACTCTGTCAAAGTGAATTATATCTAAAAACTACAAATTTAACCATTTTTTAGTGAGAATCAAACTAATATTTTATGTCATTAAAACAAATAAAAAATATATTATACATTTCATTATATTATTAATTTTATTATAATGATTAAATTATTATTAAGTGGTATTTTAAAGTAATTCTAAATAAAAAAGTATTTTAATTATTAATTATAAAATTATTAAAAAATAATTTGTAAATAATAATTAAAATTTTGATTTATTGATAAAATAATTAAAAAATAGTAATTAAATAATTTTTGGTGGTTTTTTAAACCTCCAGTAAGTTTTAAATAATTATAAAATATTAGATATTTTGCAGCGGTTTTTAATTGTTGAAATATAAAATTAATTATAAAAATAACATTTGTAACAATTTCAAATTGCAAAAAAATGTTAAATTAAAATGAGAATAATAATGTATTTTATGGCGGTTTTTAACTATTAAAATTTTTGTTTTTCTTTTTTGACATAAATACCTGTATTTAAAAAAATTCTGTTATAAATTGTTTTTGACAATATAAATATGACAATTATTTAATTGTTACAAATTTTATTTGTAGCAGTTTTTAACTTCTAAAATCTACAATTTTAACAGCTATAGATAACATATTTTTTTAGTGAATATATTATGATAATTATAAAAAAAATCATACTTAAAATTTTTATTTTGAACATATAATAATAATTAATTTATAATCGTCATGGTTATATAGGAATCATTATTAAAAAAAATTCAAATTAATTTTAAAATTGGCACGGGTATCTTTCTACGATTTATATAGTTAGCATAATTGAAAAATATAATTGATTGTCAATTTTATAATATAGTGGTGACATGAATAATTAATTTGAAACAAAATAAACCGTAAAATCATATAAAAAAACGTTAAAAATTAATTTAGCTGACATTTCGTAAAATCTTATTTTTCTTGGTTTTATATCCAATTTATAACTTATATACAAATAAATATTTGCACGGACATATTCTATAATAGAAAACTAAAGTACAAAAGAAAAAAAAAACATATAGTATATATATATATATATATATATATATATATATATATATATATATATATATATATATATATATACTAACAGAAGGAAGAAAATAAGACCAGAAGGAAAAGATAAGAACTTTCAATAAAAACAAAAAATGATGACCAACCATTCTGACTATGCAGGACTCTTTATCACAAATTCAATTCGGGATTCTCCACGTAGTAATTACTACAAAACTTATCATAAAAAACTTGTAATATTTAATAAATATTTTACGGTAATTATATTTTAATAGAATGTATTTTTATGAGAAACGATTCACAATTTCTTATCTTCAAAAATAAAAGATAAGAATCCATGGTATGACATATTTTTAAATAACTCATTGTTAATTTGATTTTATTATAATTTTTTAATAAATTTTAAAAAAATTATTTCTCTATTATTTTCTGTTATTATTTATTTTATTTTCTTTATTTTTTAAATTATTTGATACAGTAAATCTAAATATTTTTAAATAATTTATCATATCATAAGATTCCTTTTAAAAAAATTAATTCAAATAATTAGAATTTTATTTAAGTATCTCAATAAAAAAATTTCATTAAAAATACTCTAAACATCTTGTTTCACAAGTTTTAGATATTTGAAAAGTTTTTGAATACTACCCTTCGAACATTATGAGTGGTATATATATAATTGAAGTAGAATAGTTTCTGTTAAAAAAATTCCGAATTATTATTAATTTTAACGTTATTAATTTAGGTGAAAAAGTAAAAATTACTAACATATTCCAAACACTCCCACTCTCATATATTAATTATAAAATAACTTGGGTAAAAAATATTGTCGACCAACAACTTTGTTTATATACTATGTATGTTCTGTGTGTGAAATGCTATCAAATCAAATATAAATATTAATCATTAAGTCATGTATAAATTATAATAAAAAATTAAACCACCCAATCATATAAAAATGTAACTAAAATCATTAGATCATTTATAATTGTGTAATAAAAGTAAAATAAATAATATGATAGCAAAAATTATATTCTCTTTGTTCCTTTCTAATAGTTAAATAAAATTGTTTTTATTTATCTATTTTTTAAAAGTGAAAGCTAACATGAAGTTATTATTCATCCATTATGATCTAATTTTTATTTAATTTTAATTAATTTATATTATGCATTTATCATGAAGTAAAATTTATAACTTTAAAAATAACATACTTTATTATCTATTTTATCAAAATAATAAAAAAATATATTTCTTGAGTTTTATATATAAAATTTAAATGGTAGATAAAAAAAATATTTGATGAAGTAA